CTGAGCAATCATTCAAACTTGCAACGGCACTGAAAAAAAAAGACACAACCATTTTTCATACTTACGACTATTGCAGCATCCCCCCATGATCAGGTTATCAAAATTCAGGTGCTTGGCCAACTGGCATATATTTATGAAGATAGAACTATCCCAGGCTCAAGTGATTACCATTAGTAACCATCCTAACCAGTTTTCAACTGGCAAAATCAATGGGAGAAGCCTGATTCACTTATTAACTGCAGTGATTTCCTTCAGAACTGTAGTAAAAAAAAGATGTGAAATGGAGCAAAACTCATTTAACAACTGTCTTGTTTAGCAACATAAATGTTGGGCTAGTTGCGGTCATAAGTTGAGGACTATCTGTAGTTAGGGACAGGTTTTCTACTTGACCACCTCAATAAATAATTTTTAAAGAAACGAATCCAGAAAAGAAAAGATCAGGGAAAGGATTGCTTGTATGGCTATTTGGCTACTTAAATGTTCACTGCCTTGAGTTGTCTATTAAAATATTTATATATAAAGGCTATATATAAAGGCTGGAGAAGAGAGAGAGAGAGAGAGAGGATAGATGGATGGATGGATGGATGGATGCATGGATGCATGGATAGATAAAAAGATGGACGGATAGACAAATGGATGGGTGGATGGATGGATAAGGAGACATAAAGAAAGGGATGAGAGAGAAAGGGGTGGATGGATGGATGGGCAAATGAACGGATAGATGGATGGACAGGCGGATGGATGGATTGATGGATAGACAGGAATGGATAGACAAATGGATGGGTGGATCAAAGGATGGATGGATGGCTGAAGAGAGAAAAGGAAGAGATGAGAGAGAAAGGGATGGATGGACAGATGGATGGATGGATTGATTGATGGATAGACGGATGGACGGATAGGCAAATGGATGGGTGGATTAATGGATGGGTGGATAGATAAAGAGATAAAGAGAGAGATGAGAGAGAAAGGGGTAGGTGGATGGATGAATGAATGGGTGGATGAATTGATGGATGGATGGATTGATGGATAGACAGATGGACGGATAGACAAATGGATGGGTGGATCAATGGATGGATGGATGGATGGATAAAGAGAGATAAAGGGAGAGATGAGAGAGAAAGGGAGGGATGGACAGGTGGGTGGACGGGTTGATGGATTGATGAATAGATGGATGGACAAATAGACAAATAGGAGGTGGATCAATGGATGGATGGATAGTTAAAAAGAGATAAAGAGAGAGATGAGAGAGAAAGGGATAGATGGAAAGAGGGATGGATGGATGGCGGATGAACAGATGGATGGATGGATGGATGGATGGATGGATGGATGGATAGACAAATGGATGGGTGGATCAATGGATGGATGGATGATGGATAAAGTAGATAGATGAGAGTGGGATTAGAGAGAGAGAGAAGGATGGATGGATGAATGGATGGATGGATAGTTAAAAAGATATAAAGAGAGAGATGAGAGAGAAAGGGATGGATGGAAAGATGGATGGATGGATGGCAGATGAACGGATGGATGGATGGATAGATGGATAGACAAATGGATGGGTGGATCAATGGATGGATGGATGATGGATAAAGTAGATAGATGAGAGTGGGATTAGAGAGAGAGAGAGAGAGAGAAGGATGGATGGATGGACTGATAGACAGGTGAGACAGACAGACAGACAAATGTTTACAATGTTCATTAGTTTCTCACAAAACCTTGACTTATCTGGATGTTCCCTGTTGTAGAAAATCATGCACACAAGAAAACGTCACCAAGACATGTTCCAGGACCTGAACCGGAAGCTGCAACATGCAGAGAAGGAGAAAGAATCTCCACCAATGGAGACT